TCTCATAAAATTCTGTAAATTGAAGTCTTAATAAGTCCTTGATCTTCTGACGAAGGTGAGATTTTCTTTACTAACGTACTGCAGTTTCTCATTCTGATGTTGGAAGTAAAGCATTCTTTTCCTCCTTGTGCTTCCTTGCATGCTCTGATCTCTGATTATTTATAACATAACAATATTATAAAGTCTTCTTACTGATGACTTTTATTCATTATCTCAGTGCTATAGATACCTTCAAGAACATCCTGGTTAGGTAAGTGGGTATTGTCTTATCTTCATTTTATGGGTAGATATACCAAGTATAAAGCGATGGGCACTTCACCTGAAATCTGAGGAGAACCTCAAAATTTTTCAAGGAAAAAGCCTTTCCATGAGAAATTTCAGGTCGACACTTATTGTAGCAATTTTGTGATTAGAAGGAAATAACTAGATCCTAATCCTCAGCTTTAACTAGCAATTACTCTTCTTCAGATCCTTTCACTAGCTTATACTCTGTCACCTATAATAACCAGCAGATTGTTGAATAGATATTGCTTTAATTTATTTCCATTTCAATGTGACTGTGCTTTCCTCTGGATTCTATATTTTCCTGTAACATGAATTAACTGGTATAAGTTATTGATTGACCGGATACAAGGTGAATTTTATTCAAAAAGATGAGAGCGTTTTGTGAGTTCCTAGTACATCTTGGTGACGCTTCACTCTGTTTCTGGTTATCTTCTGTTCTCCCTGTGTTTGGAACATATCAAGTGTCATTCAGCTTCTTGGGTGAACAAGGCCAAGAACAGACGCAAACTGTTTGTGGAAGTAAGACTGAGTTAGGAGAGTATTTTATAGCAATTATATTAATGAATGGCTCACAGGTCAGCTGAACTCCAAGGCTCTGAGGAGGTAACTCTCAAACTACAGCAGACCCAAAATGAGAAAGAGATGGTGCCTTGAACTTGCTGGAAGGGAAATTTCCAAGGGAGAGGACAGTTCCACATATATGGATCATACATGTTACAGCAGCTCTTTTGGCATCTTCTGTAGCTATAGGTGATGCTGATGGGGACTCCACTGCTTCAGTCAGTATTGGGTATCACTTTTCAGTGGAGGAAAAAATACAGAATCCATTGCTTTCATTAAGACTTCATTGGTAGGAAAGCTTAATTGTTTGGAAACAAGGAGATGGCTGATAACTAAAATATCAACGTAGAAGATAAATTTTCTTTTTAGTGCTTTTAATGATCAGGAGAAGTGGAAACTGCTGTTTGGTGCATGATCAACTGCCAAACATACTTTTCAGTTTGGATGGTTTCCATTTTTTTTTTTAAGCCGGAGATTCTCTGGGCACTGGACTTCACTTTGACCAAGCCTTTAGCAGCAGACAGGCAAGACAGGAGGTGGTTCTGCTGAGGTGGAGATGATGCATTGGGCTGGAGAAGCAGGGCACACCAAAGAGGAAGGCAGGCTGGTTTTGTGAAATTGAAGCTGAAAGATGGTACTACAGCTTCCAGAAGAACATGTTAAACCCTTTGGTAGAAAGATCTGGTACTTTCACTAAGTTTAGAGATCTTAGGGGAAAAGGAACCACACAACACAAAAACACCCAAACAAATCACAAAACAAAAAAAAATCCCACATGTGACTGCAAGGAGCTGCTCAGGATGGGAAGCAGGGAGGGAATTCCAGGCATCGTTGTGGCTGGGGAAGGTCTCAGGTCCAGGAGCTTCAAGGCTTGCCAGCATGCCTGCTCATGACCTGTCACAGAGATCATCCATTGTACACAACCAGGCTGATACCTTTTCTTTGCGATAGAGAAAAAGTAAAGCTAAACAGCTTTCCTCTGTTCACTTTCACAGAGGAGAACTACAGAGAAATGCAAAGCATTTCGTGTATGTCTGGGAGGGAAGAGAGTAGATGACCATCCCTTCCTTCCACAGTGGACTGTGGGTTATCTGAAAGCTCTCAGGTCTGAGTGACAGAAGATAGTTTAGGTGTGCACGCCTCCATCCTTAAACTCCTGTATCACCTAATGATTTTAGTAATCCAGGATGAGCTTCATTGCAGTTCCTCAAAGAAGATATGTTGTATGACTGGCTCTTCGTCTGGGGTCTTTAGGTGCCTTGACCTGTCCTTGGTATGAGGTCTTTCCCCACCATGGTATTTCTCCACATCCTCTGGTGTCTGGGCTGCTACTGCTGTAAAGGCCAGCTTTCCAGATGTATATGGTGAAAAAATGATTTAGGCTGGGTTTTCATTCTAGGTCTGAAGCACAACATCTTTCCCAGTCCTGGGAAGATGGATTTGTGGCTGATGTGCCAGAGATATGCGAATGAAAATGGATCTGCCCACTTCTACCAAAGTGTGTGTGTAGTCCTTTTAAAATGCCTAATCTATTTCCCCAAGCCTGACAGTGCTTATGATGTGATCTCATAAAGGTGTGTGATGTCCCCCTCCCTGGGTCCTGCTCTGTCAGTACCAGTAGTTGGCAACGGCATTGTCTGGCTAAGAGACAGAGGAGGAGTCAGCCTTACCTCATTGATTGCAGTTTATTGACATTAGGAAATTCATTGTCTGCAAAAGAAGTTGGTAATAATTAAGTGAGTTAATAAATAAGGAATGTGTGTGTACAGATTAGACAGTAAATAACTTACTGTCTTCTTGATTGCCCCAGAATTTTGCTTCTCTCTTCATGCAAGGTGTGAAAAGGGATGATGGTGGGCAGAGCATGGTAGGGTATTCTTACCTGGGGAAGACAGTCCCGTAAACCTGGGCTTTCCCTCGGGTGCTGGCGTGTGTGTCTGAGTCTGTCCCCGGGGGTGGGGAGGTTGTTTAATGCTTTTAGTGCCATTTTCCAACAAATGAGAGATGTGTTTAAAAATAGCAGCAGCCCTTTGTGCTTGACTTTTTTAGTCATTTTAAGAAAGAGCTGCATCCCTTTGGCTGGGAGACGGGAAGACGACCTGACTTCAAAGTCCTTATTAGCTCCTCTGGGACCGTGGAAGGGCTCCTGGTGCCCTCCCCTCCCCTGGCTGCAGGTGTTAATACACCCCTCTTCGCACACTTGGTGGCAAGAGAGGTCGTTTCAGAGATGTGTTTTGCTTAATGGGAGCAGGGAAAGGTGTGGTGCCTAAAGGGAATACCTCTCTTGGCCAGATAAACCCCGCAATTGTCAGGAAGACAATTCTCTTTTGTCTGGCTGCTATTGATGCCTGGGTTTGGGGCAGGGGGCTCGGGGGGTGCGAGCGTGTGTCTGTGTGTGCCACACTGCAAGCTCAGGTTTAGCCATCTGCGTACAGACTGTAGCAGCATTATAATTTTTAATTGCAATTTCATTTGATATTCTCTCCCTTTCCCCCACCCTTTTCCCTCTCTCTGTATAATCTGGATCATTGCTCTCTGTAGCTGATTCCGTGGGAGACCAAGCAGAGTGCGTGGGTGCAGAATATAGAAAGCCAGAGCCATAGAATCTGTTATTTGCGTCATTCTAGGAGACGGGGCTGTTTGCCTGACAAATATACAGAATTAATCCTGGTTTTATCAATATCTGTCTTTTGCTACAGTAGCCAAATACAAGTGTAGGGTGGTAGGGGGACTTGCTGCTGCTGTTGTTGGTCTCTTGTGGGGAGG